AGGCTACCTACACAAGTTATTGGTTCCGGAATACGAGGAATACCAATAACCTGTACTATAGCATGTCTACCACTTTGCTCCTCATCATGCATACAGCAAAGTCAAGGTACTATTTCTACTCAACAACAACAACAGCCTAGCTTAGTGATGCAGCAGCCCATTGGAACAGTCCAACAAGTAACAAATACTGTATTTCAAGATCAACTGCCCATTATTTCTCAGGTACCACTACAGATCGACCCTCTTATTTCCCAAAATCTGCCTTCTCAACCAGTATTACAACAACAGCAACAAGTTATTCAACAACCGGCTGCTGATGTGTCATATCCTTATCAGCCACAGTCACAATACGTTTCTTCACAACGAACACAGGCGACTGCCCACTTGTGCATTGGCATCTGCATGCCATCTTGTAGTCAGCAGTGTATTCAGAGAGCAACTCTTCAATCAACGCCGTCGTTTACAGCATCGCCAACATTCGCCACTGCGTATCCAGTTACGCAAACTCCCACCCCAGTGCTTAACCGACAGCCTATGGCGCCCACGTGTGTTCCTCCATGCATGCCGGGATGTTCCCAGTCGTGCATTCAACAGAATCTTCCCTCCTATCAGCCGACTTCGGTCGGAACCACACCAGCTATTCCAACTTTTTCTGATCCATCCTCATCGCAGTTATATCCTTCAGCTGTTGAAACACAAAGAATGAAATGTATTGCAATCTGCATGCCTCTTTGTTTGCCCTCGTGTACTCAACCAGAGGTGCAGTATCAACATACACCAGCTCCACAAATTCCTTATCAACCGCCACCGCAGTATCAGCCAGTTGTTCTTCAGCAACAACCCCAGGTAGCCTGCCAGAACGGAATGCAGAACAGAAATTGTCGTTGCACAGTGAATTTAGGAAATTGTTCTCGAATGAGACGTGTATTCCGATGTTGTAAGAGGCAGTAGTGCTCTACACTTTTATCGTTTATCACCATGAGAATCTATCCATATCTGCTTGATTGAACTCGAAGATACGACTACCAGAATTCATTATGATTAATGAATCACCTTTTTTATCTACAGCACTGCCCAAAAAATAAAGAACCAAAGATTATTTCGCTTAAAGTCTTTTTTTAAGTTTATGCTACTGTAAGCTAAAAGTTGTTTCAGAAATCGTCGTTATACCGATTTGTCTGTTGACATTTAAAACTAGCTGCCGACAGTGACTGCAAAAAATATCTGCCAAAATGAAAGTTAATTTAAGCAGTTCTGCTAAACGATTGTTGAAACAAGTCTTTTTTTTACTTCCTAACAATCATAAATGCTTTTTGTAGCAAAAAAACTATATTTATTGTATGATTTTTTGCAGAATAAAGTTGACAAAAGGTTGCTTATGAAACACAACTCAAAGAAGTTTCAAAGCTGCAACTAGTGTAATAATATCATCGGGGCTTTGAAGGTCGGATTTAAAAATTACACGTTTTGAAAACTCACCATTTGGTAACTTTATTGTAAAAAAAAATCAAGTCAGAGGCCAATTAGTTGCTCTGAGCTGCGTGATTAGAAATATTTGACAATTTGAGCTATAAAGAGTTATGTTGGAGGTAATTCAATTGAGTGTCTAACCTAAACAGTTGTTTTTGCTGTGTTGGAACCTGCGCTGCCGTCGTTATCATCGCGGAACCAAATCACATGGTATTGGCAAATAAATTTTTAAAATTTGTAAAAAGCAAAACACACTTAAAATATTATCTATCTAGCACTTCTGCTTACTCATGATGGTAGCTAAGATGACTCAGGATACAAGTAGTCGAAAGCTACATTAAAAAAATTTTTTTTCACCTCTACTCACCTTGTATTATCGGCTGATACACAGCTAGGTGCAGTTGCATTTATTTAACGGTTTCTTTTAACACATTTTACTGAATTATTAAAGAAATTTGTTAAAACTTGGCCAACGGCGATGTTTCTAACCGTTAACTTATTGAACAATTTATGGCTGCTGAAACAGTGCTAAACCCTCTAAGTTTATTGGCAGCTTTACCCAATAAGTCTCTTCTTTTTATATGTCTACAAATTTTTTCAGTTAGAAAAGACTATAATTTTTGCAAATCTGTTTCATCGTAAATAAATGAAAATTTGACAACGCTTGTTTTTTTTTACTATTAAAGCACTCAAGCAGATTTGATATGCATAATTACTTGACTTTTCCTTCTTTTTTTTCAATTTATGAGTATTTCTTTAGATATTGGCCTCAAATAGCTGCAAGCTTATCAAGAGGTAATATTTTTAATCAAATAGATCACACACTGATACAAGCTGTTGTCGTAGTAGCAAAGGTTGTTGTTCAAACAAAGGAAAAGCTGTTGCTATAAAGAATAAGAGGGAAAAAAAGCGTATTAAAGCTGATATTTTCATTCAAAGTAGCAATAAACAATGAAGTATATCATAAACATATAAAGGAAGAAAAATTGATGTTTAAGCATATTGATAATATTAAAATAATAGAGCTGTCGAAGGATTTTTTTTATGTATTAAAGTGCAAATCTACGTATTTGTTTAATTTGGGATGTAATAACTATTAAGATATAAAACTATTCTTTTTCTTTCGATAACTGTCGCTTAATTGCTTATCGAACAGATCTTTTGTTGCACATAATTGTTTTGAATATTTCTTGTTCTAGCAAAGACTCAAAACTTTGGTACTGTTTGACAAAGGAAAAGAAGAGTTATAGTTTTGAAAACAACGGTAGTTGAAGAAACAGTTCAAAATTGCAAAAGATTTCTGTAGACAATCTTATAATTAGTTTCTAATTAATATTTAAGGTTAATTTGCTTAATAATAATTAGTTGTTTTTTCTCTTTTTTTTTTTGTTTAGTTACCTAATTATTTGTATCAAAAATACATTTTATTTATAACCGCTGATATGTACCGATCACCTCAAAAACTTTAGCGTTCTGCTTGAGCTATTTTTCTTGCTTACATTTTGTATGCCAAAAAGAAAATACTGATATATTAATTATCAAAAAAGCAAGAGTTTGATAACTGAAAAGTTTAAAATTTAACCTGTATATAAGTTTATATCTGCTAAAAAATAATGTAGCTTTTTTTCCTTCTATTTAAAATTAATCATTGCTGTAACTTATGCCGATTAACATCAGACTTTTAGTGGTGTCCTGCTGCCGAATCTTTCATCTTCTACTTTACAACAGCTTTTCCTTACTTCCGTTCACATCTCAGCCTCTTTATTTTTCTCCAAATAATTTACCATTTGTTAAATTATTAACGTTTTATGAAAACTTTAAAGTAAAATAAAATTGAACTATTGTAAAAGTGTAAGTTGAGCCAAAAATGGGTCATAATTTAAAGAAGAAAAAAGATAGTTGAAGTTAAGGTGCACTATTTAAAAACTTGAATACACTTGGGGAATATACATAAAATATACTTTTTTTTCTTGTTTGCTGATTTATTCAACTTTTCCAACTTGAATCATTACAGTATACAAAAGTCGAACATTTTTCTTTGTTGCTTTAATAATTATGCATTATTGTTGTTGCTGTCAGTTATTTATAAATTAGTTACAAATTGTTAAAGTCACTTTTTTTCACATTTTTAATGACAAAAAATGTGTTGATTTTGTAGCAACTAAACATCTTTAATTGCAGAAAAAGAAACAAAAGAAAACGATTTTATTTGGGTTTTATCTGCAGTAAATTAAAAGCGCATACAGTAGTTTATTTTCAAGTTGAAAAAAACGTTTGTTTTGAAGAAAATAAAAGTAAGAAAGC